AGCTTTTTGCGTTATAAGTTTGTTTGTAAAGCGATTAAAAGCATGCAAAATCTTCAACTATTTTAAAGTAGACTTAAGATTATTGTGATTTTTTTGTTAAAAATTAGGAAATTAAATTAACTCATGTTATTTGGTAATAAACGCAAGGCCATTAAAAGAGAGATGCGAGTAGTGATATTGCAATGGCGAAACGCACGCTTCATTGAATGGATGCTATATATTGTATTTGCTAACTACAGCATTTTACGAGTACTAAGTAAATGTATTAATGTAAATTTTTCACAAATCTATGAATCGAAAATGAGTAAATTTTAGTTCAAATAGAGCTAATCACATTATGAAAGCTTAAAGAGAGAATGAAGCGCAATTAACAGTAGTAGCTTCGAATCAAAATCATCGAAAGCTTTTCATCAGCTTTTTCTTCACAATGGCTCCATTGGATACTTTGTAAAACTTAAGTGTGAAAAGCTTTCGCATTGAATCGAAATAATATCTGTTTGCCATTTATGATAGCTGGAAAAGCCTAAAAATACGTATCGACTTTGGACGCTTTTACGTTGTACAGGTAATAATTTGAGAATACGTTGAAATGAGGTGTTAAGTTACAAGAGTTCGGCAGAATTTCCTTTGGCACTCGCTTAAGCTTTCACTTGTACGTGCCATACCTAAACAAAAGCGGCAACGCTACGTCAAATGACGAAATAACACCAATAATAAGCATAGGTTTGTTTATGTGACCTACGAAAATAACAGTTTCGCCGTTTTCTTCAGCCAACTTCACTTCCTAAAACCCTGTCAAAATCGGATTTTCCAACAGCTAAGCATTGACGGCACGTTATTTTAGTATGCTTTTGTTTACGTATGGCTATACATAGTTCAAGACTCAGTAGTAAGGTTTTAGCTGCGCCGTATGAATCCGCCATGTCAAGCATTGTAGGGAGCTAAAACGCTTATATTTATAGGAGTACATTAGTATTTACAGCAATGTCGATCAGTGTAGCGCGTTTAAAGATCTAACATTTCGAATACGTTTTGATAATTTCAAGCTTTTAAGAATCAAAGGTGATTTGAATACCTTTTGGCTAGTAGAGAGGAGAAAGCTTAAATTTTACATGGTACTGGGAGAATGAATTAGTGTTTTTTTTTTGTTTTAATGTTTATCATCTTTACGAAAGTACTTTAAAATTTACTCTCGGGTATGCTTATGTTATTATAATAAATAACATACAATATAAATGATTTTAACAACATAACTTTGTAAATTATAGTTAATCAATATAGTAAGTAAATGAACGTAATAAACGAAATTAAAGTAAAAATTTTGCTAAAGATAGAGAGAGGAAGATAGATAGAAGAGCAATAGAGTTTTGCGAACCTTTCCCCACCAGTGCCGGCTCCGACATCAGCCAATGCCTCGCCACCATCGGCCTCAGATGACGACCCGCGCGACAGCGCCCCACGTATCTCACCGGGCAGAACTTCTTCACTGCGATGCACCGTAAATGAGTTCTTACCCTTCTTTCCAAAGCCCATACGTCTTTTACGACCTTTATATGTATACGCATATATGTATATTGATAATTGATAGTTTGGTGCTAGCTTTATTGTTACTACATATTTATTTGATTATGATTCGTGAGACAAAGATTTTCCCAATATCAAGACAGTTAGTATATGTATGAATGTCTTTTGTTTTCAGATGCGGCACTAAATTACGTAATATGTATTTACATTTCTGTTATGTTTATGTTAGGCGGAGAATATAATTAACGTTAGTGCTTTAAATGAAATTAAGCTAATTGTGTAACTAAAAGGAAATTTCAATAAAAAATACCAGATAATTCAAATACTGGGAAAGAAAATGGAAAATCATATAAAAATTAAAATTATCTACTACCAAATAATTGGAATTAAAAACTTTTTTGCTCAGGCTGCGATCATAAAATATGTCTATAATTTTCTTAAAAGTTCTCGCACTTGGAGTGTCAATGTACTCGGGGTTTAAATGACAAGCGTTTACGAAATCATTTAGAAGTGAATATGTATGTCGAATGCAACTAACTTGCAGTAAAAATTTCAAAAACGATTAATTGGCAAAACTGTTAACTGGGCGTGCCCTTACCTGTGGCCGATAATTGCGAAGTGGAGTTCGATTTTTTACCCATACCGCTGCCGCCTTTGGGTGAACGTTCTTGGTCCACGCCGCCTTTTTTGCGATCCGTTGCCGTATCGGATAAGCTGCCGTCTGAGTGAAAATTGATACATACATACATACATATGTATAATTAATATTTCGATATTATTAGTTAATTTTTTTAAGTATTTATGTATGTACATTAGGTCAAGTAAATTTTTTTGACTATGCGCAATGATTCTACTTGTAAATCTAAACAAATTTTCCGAAAAAACCATGGGTCCAAAATCAATTTGCAGTTTGCCAAATTGCAAAAATAGGTTTCGAAGAAAATGTTCACTGTTGTGCCCCCTGGTGAAAATTTCAAGAAAAAATATAACTCCTACTATACACTTCTAAAGATATATCACCAGAAAATGCTGAAAATTCGCTTCAAATAATATGCTCTGTAAAATACATTTACGCAACTTTTATGTACAGTATGTAATAGATAAATAAACTTTTTAAAGTTTCATAAATTGAACTTTATTTACGTAAAACTAACAAAGGACTCAAACATTTTTAACCGACTTCAAAAAAAGGGGGAGGTTATCAACGTCAACCGATTTCAATAATTCTTTTTTTTATCAGAAAGATGGTACCTTAAAGGTCGTCCCGGAATTTGGTTCAGATCCGATCAACGGTGCTCCTCAATTTGTATATGACAATTGAAGTCGGATTTGTTTTTTGCTTAAAAATTACTTGTTTATTAAAACGTTCTATAGACACAAGATGCGCTCAGCTATCAAAAATAATAAAACGTATTCGAAGTTGGCAAATTAAGTATTCGAATCCTTATTAAGTACATAAGAGTGGTAAACTCTTTTAGGCTGTAAAGTGTAAAAAACAACAGTAAGTGAGTATGCATTTGATACAATGTTTCATTCGTAGTTAACCGTTTATATATGTACTATAAATCAAATATAAAGGCTGAATGCTCCAATCGATAAGGATTTCCCTACAAAAAAGTGTATTACTGCGCTCCAGCTCACTCCATCAGTGCAAAAAATGAACCTGAGCTTAAGCTTTAACATGATGTTTTATCCGCTGGGAGCAGTGCACGGACTTCACTACTTTACTGGTAGATCTACCAACTTTTTAACATTTTTAGCAACAAAGGATAACAATCTATCTATATTATTCGAAAGAAAGCAAAGAGGTTTAAATTAATGCGATGCATAGATATTTTGTCATCGAACACAAAAAAAATGAAAAGTTAACTCTGACCATAAGAAATTCGAAAGTGAAATTGCATCGCCTGCAACTCTTTGTACAAATATTTTTCTTATTCGTGGGAGGCTGCCGACCAAAAGGTGTGCAAACTTCAAGTTTTTCAAATCTAATTTTAGTCATGAAATTTTGAAGTGAAGAGTAATTGTTTGAGTCCCTTTATCAACTAATGCAGGGACTGAATCACGGCATCCGTAATCTGATCAAATTCGAATCCACATTTCTTTTCAGTAGCTAGTTTCTGTAACAATTCTCTACCAAGGCGAATTCATATATACATTCGGCGCCTTGTTCTCTACTGCTAATGAGTAATAGAATGACGTATATTCTATACCAGTAGAGAAATAATCGCTAGAGAAGAGGTACAGAAACGAGCTACAGGTTACGGCATTCGTTCGCTTTTTCAATTTAAAATGGCATTACGATAAAACAGATATCATTTTTGTCATTCGACTCGAATAGAGTTTCATTCAATCACGGATTCAGGCCCAGTTTTATGCATACGTTTTTTGTTGAATGTTTTATTGGCTTGAAATAGATTTTTTGTTGTTTTATAAAAACAAATACAACTTATCCCAAGGTGAATTCATATAACGTGATAGCAGGAGTACAAAATCAAAAATTACACTAACAAGTTTTACGCATAAAGACAGTAGGAATTACAACAAATACATCTTTTTGGCATTAAGAACCACCGAGGCGAAAATCCAGCTGCTCGAGTAACACCACCTTATACAAATTCGGTGACAGGTAACAAGATCAACGGAAATAAAGTCAATTGACTTTATTTCCCACCCTGGTGCGAAATAAAGTCAATTTACATTATTACCTTTTCAAAAGCGAAATTAAGTCAACAAAAATTTGGAAATAAAGTCNACGTGCCATACCTAAACAAAAGCGGCAACGCTACGTCAAATGACGAAATAACACCAATAATAAGCATAGGTTTGTTTATGTGACCTACGAAAATAACAGTTTCGCCGTTTTCTTCAGCCAACTTCACTTCCTAAAACCCTGTCAAAATCGGATTTTCCAACAGCTAAGCATTGACGGCACGTTATTTTAGTATGCTTTTGTTTACGTATGGCTATACATAGTTCAAGACTCAGTAGTAAGGTTTTAGCTGCGCCGTATGAATCCGCCATGTCAAGCATTGTAGGGAGCTAAAACGCTTATATTTATAGGAGTACATTAGTATTTACAGCAATGTCGATCAGTGTAGCGCGTTTAAAGATCTAACATTTCGAATACGTTTTGATAATTTCAAGCTTTTAAGAATCAAAGGTGATTTGAATACCTTTTGGCTAGTAGAGAGGAGAAAGCTTAAATTTTACATGGTACTGGGAGAATGAATTAGTGTTTTTTTTTTGTTTTAATGTTTATCATCTTTACGAAAGTACTTTAAAATTTACTCTCGGGTATGCTTATGTTATTATAATAAATAACATACAATATAAATGATTTTAACAACATAACTTTGTAAATTATAGTTAATCAATATAGTAAGTAAATGAACGTAATAAACGAAATTAAAGTAAAAATTTTGCTAAAGATAGAGAGAGGAAGATAGATAGAAGAGCAATAGAGTTTTGCGAACCTTTCCCCACCAGTGCCGGCTCCGACATCAGCCAATGCCTCGCCACCATCGGCCTCAGATGACGACCCGCGCGACAGCGCCCCACGTATCTCACCGGGCAGAACTTCTTCACTGCGATGCACCGTAAATGAGTTCTTACCCTTCTTTCCAAAGCCCATACGTCTTTTACGACCTTTATATGTATACGCATATATGTATATTGATAATTGATAGTTTGGTGCTAGCTTTATTGTTACTACATATTTATTTGATTATGATTCGTGAGACAAAGATTTTCCCAATATCAAGACAGTTAGTATATGTATGAATGTCTTTTGTTTTCAGATGCGGCACTAAATTACGTAATATGTATTTACATTTCTGTTATGTTTATGTTAGGCGGAGAATATAATTAACGTTAGTGCTTTAAATGAAATTAAGCTAATTGTGTAACTAAAAGGAAATTTCAATAAAAAATACCAGATAATTCAAATACTGGGAAAGAAAATGGAAAATCATATAAAAATTAAAATTATCTACTACCAAATAATTGGAATTGAAAACTTTTTTGCTCAGGCTGCGATCATAAAATATGTCTATAATTTTCTTAAAAGTTCTCGCACTTGGAGTGTCAATGTACTCGGGGTTTAAATGACAAGCGTTTACGAAATCATTTAGAAGTGAATATGTATGTCGAATGCAACTAACTTGCAGTAAAAATTTCAAAAACGATTAATTGGCAAAACTGTTAACTGGGCGTGCCCTTACCTGTGGCCGATAATTGCGAAGTGGAGTTCGATTTTTTACCCATACCGCTGCCGCCTTTGGGTGAACGTTCTTGGTCCACGCCGCCTTTTTTGCGATCCGTTGCCGTATCGGATAAGCTGCCGTCTGAGTGAAAATTGATACATACATACATACATATGTATAATTAATATTTCGATATTATTAGTTAATTTTTTTAAGTATTTATGTATGTACATTAGGTCAAGTAAATTTTTTTGACTATGCGCAATGATTCTACTTGTAAATCTAAACAAATTTTCCGAAAAAACCATGGGTCCAAAATCAATTTGCAGTTTGCCAAATTGCAAAAATAGGTTTCGAAGAAAATGTTCACTGTTGTGCCCCCTGGTGAAAATTTCAAGAAAAAATATAACTCCTACTATACACTTCTAAAGATATATCACCAGAAAATGCTGAAAATTCGCTTCAAATAATATGCTCTGTAAAATACATTTACGCAACTTTTATGTACAGTATGTAATAGATAAATAAACTTTTTAAAGTTTCATAAATTGAACTTTATTTACGTAAAACTAACAAAGGACTCAAACATTTTTAACCGACTTCAAAAAAAGGGGGAGGTTATCAACGTCAACCGATTTCAATAATTCTTTTTTTTATCAGAAAGATGGTACCTTAAAGGTCGTCCCGGAATTTGGTTCAGATCCGATCAACGGTGCTCCTCAATTTGTATATGACAATTGAAGTCGGATTTGTTTTTTGCTTAAAAATTACTTGTTTATTAAAACGTTCTATAGACACAAGATGCGCTCAGCTATCAAAAATAATAAAACGTATTCGAAGTTGGCAAATTAAGTATTCGAATCCTTATTAAGTACATAAGAGTGGTAAACTCTTTTAGGCTGTAAAGTGTAAAAAACAACAGTAAGTGAGTATGCATTTGATACAATGTTTCATTCGTAGTTAACCGTTTATATATGTACTATAAATCAAATATAAAGGCTGAATGCTCCAATCGATAAGGATTTCCCTACAAAAAAGTGTATTACTGCGCTCCAGCTCACTCCATCAGTGCAAAAAATGAACCTGAGCTTAAGCTTTAACATGATGTTTTATCCGCTGGGAGCAGTGCACGGACTTCACTACTTTACTGGTAGATCTACCAACTTTTTAACATTTTTAGCAACAAAGGATAACAATCTATCTATATTATTCGAAAGAAAGCAAAGAGGTTTAAATTAATGCGATGCATAGATATTTTGTCATCGAACACAAAAAAAATGAAAAGTTAACTCTGACCATAAGAAATTCGAAAGTGAAATTGCATCGCCTGCAACTCTTTGTACAAATATTTTTCTTATTCGTGGGAGGCTGCCGACCAAAAGGTGTGCAAACTTCAAGTTTTTCAAATCTAATTTTAGTCATGAAATTTTGAAGTGAAGAGTAATTGTTTGAGTCCCTTTATCAACTAATGCAGGGACTGAATCACGGCATCCGTAATCTGATCAAATTCGAATCCACATTTCTTTTCAGTAGCTAGTTTCTGTAACAATTCTCTACCAAGGCGAATTCATATATACATTCGGCGCCTTGTTCTCTACTGCTAATGAGTAATAGAATGACGTATATTCTATACCAGTAGAGAAATAATCGCTAGAGAAGAGGTACAGAAACGAGCTACAGGTTACGGCATTCGTTCGCTTTTTCAATTTAAAATGGCATTACGATAAAACAGATATCATTTTTGTCATTCGACTCGAATAGAGTTTCATTCAATCACGGATTCAGGCCCAGTTTTATGCATACGTTTTTTGTTGAATGTTTTATTGGCTTGAAATAGATTTTTTGTTGTTTTATAAAAACAAATACAACTTATCCCAAGGTGAATTCATATAACGTGATAGCAGGAGTACAAAATCAAAAATTACACTAACAAGTTTTACGCATAAAGACAGTAGGAATTACAACAAATACATCTTTTTGGCATTAAGAACCACCGAGGCGAAAATCCAGCTGCTCGAGTAACACCACCTTATACAAATTCGGTGACAGGTAACAAGATCAACGGAAATAAAGTCAATTGACTTTATTTCCCACCCTGGTGCGAAATAAAGTCAATTTACATTATTACCTTTTCAAAAGCGAAATTAAGTCAACAAAAATTTGGAAATAAAGTCATTGACGCTATTTTCTCATTCAAATGGAAATAGCGTCAACTATGCTTAAAGTATGTCGATTCATGGAACAAATGTTGTTCTTACAATAAACATTGCTCCGTAAGTGTTGTTTTTTAATAGATGACAAAGGTTATTGCCAAATCCTCAGTGTGGTGCTATTAATCCACACACAATCATGAACTACCACCAATTGATTTTATTAAAAAATTTAAAATTACGAATACAGTAAACACACGATGCGGAAAACCAAACGCAAAACGCAGCTGGAATACAAAAAATATTTGAAGAAAGAGTGTAGAAATGATCCATAACTTGCAACCATGTTTCGTTTCCACAAAAATAAAGCGAACACTATTAAATTGAAGAAACAGTCCATGTCCAAAAACCCCGTGGGAACACTGAAAGAATTCTCTGTTTTAAATTAGCATATTTTGAACGAGTTCGGAATGTCTAAGGTGGAAAAGAAACTAACTTTTCTATAAGGAAACAATTATAGAAAAGGAATTTTCTTACACTGTATACATGTCTCCGCCAGCAATTTGTGACATCATTTAAAAGCAAGGCGAACGACGACACGCGGCGTAGCGTGACGTGGTGTGTGCGCCGGTCACGCGGGGTACGCGGGCCACCGCGAAGCTAATCAGATTTAATGTTTGAAAGAGCAATAATGTCAATGGATTTTATTTCGCTTTTAAAAAGGTAACGTAAAATAAAGTCAATTGACCTTATTTCCGTTGATCTTATTACCTGTCACCTACAAATTCGCCTTGATTTATCCTTTTTAAGTAAAAACTATCTAATATTGTTTGTCTTAAATAATTCACCAACTTCTACCATTTTTTGTATGTAAAATCTACCATTATTAATGTTTTTGAAGTCCGTGCTGGGAGGCCCTAAAGGCCACTCGTGGGTTTGAAAGTAATGGAGGCTGGAGCGGTACATTGTGGAGCGGGGTGGCAACTTCTCAAGGCAGAAATATAGACGTTAGTGTCTTTTGAATGCCGCAAGGAAATTGTGTGTTTTTAGAGGCTACTAAATAAAATGATGTATCACTAGGTATTACTCACTGTCGAATCTTTACTGATATTTGGAAAACCGACACTTGGTCATTATCGAAGATAATGGGCACACACTTTACTTCTTTCTGAGCATTAGCCAGTCCTCTAGTTTCGGTATTGCAAGTCTAGCGGCGAAGCCACCATCGAATATATCACTCAATGTCGGAAGGTTTAGCTGCGTATTTGCGTTCATTGAGCAGATGGGGCTGTAAGTACTGGTGGGATTTCCTGACTGCTACCCTTTCTTAAGACACAAGCATCTGACAGTGGTCGGCATAAATGACAACCCAATTTTCCCTTGCTGCCTTCAAGAGGACGAGACAACGGAAAACGTTTTTATTATTATGTTCCACCTTTGAAAGTATTAGGTAGGATGCTTTTGGCAGTGATGTGTTTCGAGACGAACATCTGGCCTCTTTATGATTTTGTTTTAACTCCACGATTCTATATGATCGTAACTCTTAAAATCGATCATCAAATGAAAAAATCTCTCTTACTTAAAATATGTACGAAAAATATATATGTATGTAGGTATATATACCTTCATACATACATTTCGACAGCCGCGCATGTAATGTAAATATGTATTTGTATATTTAATTGCTTACCAACTTTCTCGTCTACACTCTGGCTGAAATTGGCGTCCTTCTTATCCTCACCACCACCATTTTTATCTTTGTCATATTCACTAAAGTCGTCATCAAGCATCGCATCGATTGCGTCCCAATCGATGACGTCGAGTGGCGCATCGGCATCATCCGCGGCAGCGCCATCGCCAGCGGATGTCGTTATATCACCAGTATTCGTTGTTGTAGTTGTTGTGGCAGCAGGATTTGATGTTGAGGTTGATAAGGTTGCAGTTGTTGTTGTTGTTGTTGTTGCCGTGGTTGTATTCGACGATGATGTGGTTGTGATGTTTGTGGATGTAGTTGTTGTTTGTATGGTAGTTGTTGTTGTAGTTGTTGTTCCGTCAACGTTTACGTTTAGGTTAGCGTCGTTAGTTGTATTTGTATGTTTCAATGAGGCACGTTTAGGTGATGTGGAGTTAGCGACACCATGATGGGAATTTGCAAAAGAGGAAGAAGAAGCATTATTAGAAATATTACCACCGACGACGATATTACCAGCAGCAGCAGTAGAAGAAGCACCACCACCACTACCACTCCCACTACTAGATTTCGTCTGTTGTTCCGCGCCGTATGAAACTTCTTTCCCTTTTTGCCTACCTCTACCACTACTACTACCAAAACTAACACTACTTGTATAATTACGACTAGTGTGCGGGTCTATGTAGGGATCGCCGTAATCATCGTATTCGAAATATTCTGGTTGGTCATTTATGCTAACGAGATTACTGCGATCACTGCCCGATTCATGCTGTAACTGTTCTACTCGTGTGCGATGACCACCACCGGTGGCCATCGATGATTTACTGCGCTTCGATACAATCGATGAATGACGTGGTTGACTAGGTGACGACGATTCTGGCCCTGCTGAACGACTGGGATCGCGCTGATCACGAGGATCGCGAAGTTCGCGTTGATCGCGATGTTCACCAATAGGACCCGGTCGTTCGGCGGAGCCTGTGCCGTTCATTGGTGGTTCGCCACTATGTGGCGGCAGCGTAGCAGACGAATGTGTGGCAGAATCCATTATCATAGCGTCGTCATCGTAGCCTTCCACAGGCGAAAAGTTGTGAGCGTTTTGTGCGCTTGGCGGATGCGGTAAGTTGCGACGTCGCTTTTGGTATGGCAGTGCGGCTCCGTAGAGTTTTTCCTGATTAGTGCGTTGTAAATTAAGAGACATATGATTACGTTCGCGACCATCAAAACGGCGTCGGGAATCGTGAAACACAGATGGTGCGACCCCGCGTCGTGTCCATCCCACATCGGAGTCATAGGTTATGGTGACGATTTTGTCGTCAGTAACAAGGAAGTGCGAGTGACTAAGCGGATTGACTTCGTCGACATTGGCACCCATGTAAGACTGCCGAATATTCGTCTCCGAACCATATCGACGTGAGAGATCTTCTAATGTGGGATTATATACCTCATCTTCGTATCTTATTCGACGACGACCCCAACTCTTCGCATGCAAATCGTCATAATCTAAAGAGCGTGATTGGCCTTCATGAAACATTTTCCGCCGATCTAAAGTGCCCGTTGGCACGCCCACTTTCGGCTTCTTGAGAATAGAAGTGGGCTGTGCCTTTGACTCCGCGATAGGCACTGCCGTTATAAGCGCATCTTCGCTTAATTGCCGCGAAAGTCGCAACACCGATTGTGTGGGCAGTTGAGGTGGCGGAGCAAGTGAGGACTTGGCCTTTTTGTGCGCCGTGGGCGTTGGGGTATGAACATGATAGGTGGGCACAGCGCCCAAGTCAATTTGTGGTGCGGTGAAACCGCTCACGAAATGCTGATCCACACATTCGCCGCATATTGCCGGATCCATAGTTGGCAGTGAAGGCTCTGATGATGGCTGATACATGGACAATGACGGTCTACGCAGAAGCTGCTCGGCTGTATAAGGATAGGCGACGGGATGATGTTGCGGATGAGGGTGCGACTCCGCAATGCAAAATGGATTGTCGCAAGCGCCAATAGCAATTCCAGGTGTGGTGAGTGCAGCATTGGTCGATAGTACGACTGGCTGGCTACCGTTCTGGCAGTGGCTGCAGGTGTTGTCGTAATGATCACGGACGTACGCTATGTATGATGAGGGTGACGATGATACGGAATGAGCGTGTTGATGTGGGGAATTGACTGCCGCGGCAGTCGGTGTGGTGAGTGTCGAGCTCGGACTTTGGCGAAACAAGTTGACTACTGGCGAAGTGAAGTGTTGCAAATGATCGTAGAATGGATAATGGCCGGCACCTAGCGGGCTATTACGTTGTGAAACCTTCTCGGCGAAAGGACTGAAAGTGGCAGCATGCGTTAGAAACTCGGGGAAATGTGTGGAATTCTGTATGTGAGGCGGATACTCATGTGGGTGAAATGCATGAGGGTGTGGCTGTGGGTGTGAATGTGGTTGCTGTTGCATTTGTAGTTGTGTGCTGACAGTGTGCGCTGGTGGCGGCAGCGGCGGCGGCAATGTGGGCGGAGGAGTTGGCGGTATCACCGTCACGCCTGTTTGCTCCATCAGTATCAAACCCGGATCGGCGCCCGCCTCGAGCATATACTGATCGACCACTAGATTGCCGCTATTGTCGGTCATTATCAGTTGGCTTGGCAGTTGTGTTGGTTCTTGTAGCTGTTGCTGTTGTTGTAATTGCAATTGTCGGTGTTGTGGTGGTAAAACGTGATGTGGTGGAGTATTTGTCGCGGTTGCGCTTAGCAAATTATGTGGATTGGACGTCGCTGTGTTTGGAGGCGAATCGGCAGCGGCCAACTCTGCGAGCTGTTGCAGCTGCTCCAGCTGTTCGAGCAACAACATCTGCTGTGACACTGTATTGAGGTGAGACGGCGACTGCATTGTGGCATACAGCGATGACGGTCCTGTCAGGCTGGTTGGTAAATAATCACAATCATCGACTTCAATCGTATTGGCGCGATAACGTTCAAAGAAGCCGCGCTCGCGAGCAGGTGCATGGTGGCCGACATGCGTGGTGGAGGCAACGCCAAGCATCGGGTCGGCACCGTACAAAGTGCGCCAGTTGCGTGGCAAGCTTTTGATAGCAAAGGCGGCCGATCGATTGATTTGTTTTCGAATTTCAGTTAACGTTGTGTTCGAAAAGCCGCGCGTGAATTTGTGACGGCCAGGCCGTGTAGGTGTGTGTTCAGTTGTTTTCAATTTTGGTTTGATATTTTTGTTTCATAAATGTACGTTTCAAGTTGTTGTTTTTTATTATTTTGTGTTTGCGTTTGTTTAATCCACATGCGCATGCAAAAATGCAAAATGATCAATGAAGGATCATTTCGAGTTGAATATTGTTTGTTTGTGTTTTTTGTTTTATTTGTTTTTGTTTTAGTTGTTGGTGTTGTTTTCGTAGAATTTGCAAAAAAAGAGCATAGCATTTTTGGAAAAAATTATGTAGATAAGTTGAATGTTGCCAAGTGAGCGGTGTTTGATTTTTTTTTATACGTTTACGTTGGTTGTTGTTGGTTCATGTCAGTTAGTCATTTCGAGTTGTAAAAATATTCAAAAGTGGTTGGTTTAGTTATATGTAGTTTTAGTATGTTAGTGTAAATGATACAACATAGAGTCGTGGTTGTTGTTGATATTTTAAGTAGTTTGTTATTGTTGGCATTCATATACATATAAAGCAGTTTAACATAAAATTAGCGCGCGTCATTGAAGTGAAGTAGAGTAGATATTTGGGTTGAGTTGAGTAGAATTGGTTGAGTTAAGTTGAGTTGAGTTGAGTAGAGTAGTTATGTAGTAGGTATGTAAAAAATAATAAAGAAAAGAAAACAAATTTTTGTTTGTTTTCCAGCGACATATTTAGAAAATGTGTTTGTTGCCCAAATGATGGCAGGGTTGCATTCGGTTCGAATTGTTTGAGAAAACTTCGTTTTCTATAGTAGCTTTTGCTTCAAAATATGTGTGTCTCAAATAAATGTAACCCAAAAATTTGTAAAATAAAAAATAAAAAAGTTTCGATCGGGTTTCATTAAAATCTGTATCTGATTTCGGTCTCATCTAATTACATAACTAATTTAAATTTTCTATCGGCTGATTCTTTGGCAGATTGGAATGGTAATTTTTGTTATTTTTTGTACATTTTGGCATATTGTTTCATGATTTGTTTTGTTTTGGTTTTTTTTCAACAGCTGGTTTTGGTGCAGAATTTTGTTTCCCGGCTGTTTACACAAACACACAGCAACCCAGAACGAAAGCTTTTTGTGGGATACAAAGGAAAAGCCGCTCAGCAGAAGTGCCAAACAGCGGTACTTACCTCAGCCCGCGTGAGCCGCGCGGCCGTTCCGATTGAGTGGAAAAGGCGCTCGACGTCACGCTAACCACCGACTCCATATCAGAATCTCCGAATTCGCCCATGAAGTCCTTGTCGGGTGAGAGAGAGTGACGTGGCCGCACGCGCGTTTCCATCGATTGCAGATCGCTATCGGAAAGGCCTGTGTAGTGGCGTTCCCATCCCCCCATGCCGGTACTGCGGTACGTTGCTTGATGATGCATCTGGCGTGTACGATGGCGGCCGAAACGTCCGCCACCCGGGCGCTCATCGAATTCCTGACCCAGGCGATCGCGTAGCATTGCGCTGCGAGAAGTTTGTGGCACCTGAAAGAACAAACGAATATGAGCGGTCAAGAAAGAAGAGGTAGTGTCGGCACATCTGGGTGACTCGCCTGTGGTAATTGTCGCTTCTTCGGTGATCCCGTCGGAGTGGCTGTTGCGGACCGCGACTGAAAACGGGTCTGTTGCCCTGCACCCGGGCCGATTGTTGCCGCAGCCCCACCCCCCAATCCGCCCAAGGCAGCACCTCCAGCGGTGGCTGTTAACGTGCCTGCTCCACCTGAAAATTGGTGGCCGTACGCTGAGCCAGATGCATCTATTGGAAGAACTGGATAGTCTATGTAACGGTCGTCAGGCGGCGAGAGAGAGCCGCGCCGTGGGCTGCTGCTGCGGTAGTAACTGTGACCGGTGCCGGTCACGCCGTGGTAGCTGTCAGTTGGTGCGGCAGAGTGACTCCGCTGGCTGAGGCTCATACTACCGGGTCCAGTAATAGCGCCATTGCGACGCAAGTAACCTGTGCTCACCTGCTGTGGCCGGACAGGTGAATGAAGTAACCGGAAAGTGGTAGATAGATACGAAAGTGAAAAAATTAAATAAACAGAAACCATTCTAAAGTAGTTAAAAATTTAGGTGAACATTTTCTGGTCTATTAATATGCCTCGCTGGCATTATCCCACACTATACATTTAATAGTTTTAATTATCGTAACTAATATTAAATCAATATATTCGTTTGATTGATTAGCATTAAACAATAAGTAGTGATTAAAAAGAAACATTTCGGTGTGACAGTTCTTAGAAATTTAAAATCAAGCAAAAGTTCTTCAGGCAACTAAATATACATATGTACATTGCTTAGACATTCGATTTTTGTTTAAAATGGAAAATGGCGCAGATGATTCATTTAATTACATAGCTCTACCAGAAATACGAACATAAAAGTGTGGACAGTGGTTTAAAGGCTACTGCAACTCGATATGTGGGAATACTCTAATGCGCAGGCGTAATGATAATGCGACGTGAGTATACCAGGAATTTCCGATTTGTAACTGATGAAAACGACAATGAACGCTGTCGATTTTCGATACTGCCGATATATGTATGTAAAGTTGTAGCTTTAATAGTTTAATTTGATGAATTTCGCTTACTTATGGAGAGCCGAATAGTTGGTTTTCTTTTTTACTTTTATCTTTATGAATTTACAGTTTTCTATCGGGCTACGTTGCACTCCCCTGAAAGTCCCTTAGCAACAACCGTGGTTACACAAAACAAGTTTGTGAACATTGGCTTGGGGTTGTATGAACCAACTGCAGCATAAATTAGTTTGTTATTATATGACATACTTTCGTTTTCTTTACGCAGAATCGAAGTGATCTCGGGACTATGAAAACAGGAAGCCAAATAAATTCTATGGGCAGTAACAATTCGTGTTTTAGGTACATATATCTACAGAATATTCACAAAAATGTGTGCGGGTTGGACGATTTCTTCTAACCTGGCGATACCTCATGATCGGTAACAATTCCGTCTGTTCGAAACAATTTGCCTTGCCAGAAGTTTATTATCGTCCCAGTTTATAATTAAAACTATTTGTGCGAAACTAGAAAGATCGAATCTTATAACAGAATCTTCGAGTCAAGGAATATAGATATCAGATCGAACTACTATTGAAGACTAAAACGGTAAATTATTCAACGAAAATTTGCAAAGAAGTTAAAAAGAAAGGTTGCAACCTGAATGAGTATACACCGCTCTTTGCACTCTTACCTTTGTCTGCAGGAGGTCATACACCAGTTGGAATATTTCTTTATATAAATTGTTTTTAATATATGCAGAAGTTCCCTCAATAGCATAAATGTAGTTAGTTACATTTGTGATGAATACACAGTTAAAAGTTTCAAAATTATGAACGAAGTGATTTATGCAGAATTAGATTCGACAAGAAGACCCTTAACGCATTCACAGGATGTACATATTCTAAAATTTGCTTCCGTCCTTGACCCATTATTTGAAGAAATCTACAGTGAAGTGAACAGTAACAGGGTAGCGTCTACAAAGCCTAAACCGTTCATCCGAGAGAATTTAATAATTTTTTAACGTGTCTAAAATTACCTAATGCATCTGCAGAAGTATTGGCTTCCAGTTTAAAAAGAAAGTTATATTTTTTTCAGGTTTGCAAGGCTTTACTCTGGAAATTGGNAAATTACCTAATGCATCTGCAGAAGTATTGGCTTCCAGTTTAAAAAGAAATTTATATTTTTTTCCGGCAGAATATTGTAAATCTACTTTTAGTTAAAGTGATTGAATTATGTGGACCCCATGCACGTAACGCTAGGTCCTATGAAAGGATTTGTTAAGACGCTATACAAAAAGGCGAATGTTTTCCTTATTTAATGAGAAAACTTTCTGGTCTAAGCACAGAAAAGATAAAGGAGAGAATTTTCGATGGACTTTAAATATTAAACTTAATAAAGGATTCTGATTTCTTAAGTTCAATAAACTATTTGAAAAGACCTGCGGCGACTTCGTTCGGTGAAGTTATTAAAAATTTTGGCGAAAATTTCAGCCAAGTCAAGTACTCCGAAATCGTAAACGAAATGTTGAAGAGTTTTAAAACCTTGGGATGTAATACGTCCATCAAAGTGCACTACCGACATAGTCATCTTGATAAATTTCCAGATAATCTTGGATTCTATAGAAAAGAACAATGGGATCTGTTTTACTACGACCTGTTTAACCTACAGAAGAGAAGTACCAAGGCCGTTGGGATCGTCGTATGATGCCTGACCATTGCTAGAGTATTCAATATGGTTCTTCCACCACTCCTTATTCAGAAATTTCGCGAAAATGAAATTTTTTATTTTATTTTTTTAATGCCAAATTTAAAAACTGCACGTAAATTCAATATATCGGCAGCTGAGATAGGGTATTTGTTGAAATAGGGTGTTCTTTAACCGAATTCTGGGGCAGGGCGTTCTCAACCAAATTCTGAAGTAGGGCGCTCTTGAGTCATTTTCTGAGATAGGGCGTTTTCGAACAGGCTGCCGAGATAGATGTTATCAGTATAAGGTCCTCAGTTAAAAAATAATTATAGTTCCTCTGCACCAAAACCACTGTTGACCAGTGTTATTTCCATCAAAGGTGCTTTGTAGGCTTAGGGAGCTTTTGAGCTAAAGAGCGAAAAAGCCAGATCTTTAAATTGAACTAGTTCATTGGTTCGTTTTTTAAAGGGAACTAAAATTTTTTGTGGCAACAGTCAAATAAAAATGGAAGTGCAATTTTAACACATATGACATCGGTATATGGAGAAAAATAAAAGTGTTGAGATTCTCAGTCTCACCCCCTAGAAATGTGTGAATAGCCTAAAGACTTGAGTATGCAAAGTTTTAGGTCAATCAAAAGAGATTTAGAGGTGGCTCTAAGCGCTCAAAGTTACCCATGTATTTTATATGGGGAAAAAACTATCTTTCGTTGAAATGGTATAGAATCCTTGAATATCAATATTTTTCAAACGGCAAACTCAATTTCACTTCAGGAGACATAAAAAAATATTACCCAATTGGTTATTTAAAATTTGTTTTATATGGACGATTTTTTTATGGGTTCCCCCATTGCATTTCTTCGGGTTTTAGGGGATCCATAGAAAATAGTTAATATTAATAAATTATTAAATAAACGATTGAGTGCTTTTCTGAAAGTCTCCTGAAGAGAAAAAGAGATTGTCGATTGAAAAATAATGATTTTCTACCTTTTCTACGAATAATAGTTTTTTCTCCATATAAAATACATGGGAAACTTTGAGCGCTTTGGTGTTTAGGCTGCACAGTTTGGTGTTTAGGCTGTTCACACATTTCCACTGTAATGCACATGTGTACTAATGGGGGGGGGTCAGCATAAAGCCGTAAAAGGCTGTTACTTAACCATTCAGGAATATTTTAGAGGAAGTCAAATATATGGGAATTATTCGGGACATATTGCTTATATGGATCTTGGTAAAACAAAACAGGCCATGAGAACCTGTAGAAGAATCGTTGATCTGATGTGGAGCCTTAACCCAAAAAAAAGAGTGGCTTTATCCCTGGATCGTTTGTTCAATTGGGATTATTGTGCTCGCTGAATGGTGGACAAGAACACTGAAAAAACTACCACACGACGTTTTAGCACACTGTAAAGGTCGACTTCCTCTCGATCACAGAAGCAATAAGAACTGGCGTTTTTATACTTTCGCTAGAAGGACATACATCTTTATATAGAGATAACCCACAAACGCATAGGAAGGCCTGTAGAGTCAGAGATTGTTCGGCCTTGGTTTGTTTTCCCTAACATATCCCCCTTCTACCACACGAACTACAACTAGAAATAATTCTACTAAGATTTGTTTAGATTTTATTACGGAAACTGAATGTATCTTGGTCCTTCAGAAGGAAAACAAATTAAGAAATTGTTATTTAGATTTAACTTAATTGAAATTAATTGTGTTTATATCTTTAATGACATTTTTTTAAGTCAATACAAACAGATTCAGGTCACTAAATGCGAATGTAAAGTCGGAGCTCAAAACTGTCACACTTTTTATTATAATAATAATAATAATAATAAATTGGCGCTTACACACATGTTAGTGTTTGGCCGAGCTTCTCCTCCGATTTGTGGCGTGCGCCTTGATGTTGTCACACAAAGCGGAGGGACCTACAGTTTTACGCCGACTCCGAACGGCGATTGTATTTTTATGAGAAGCTATATTTCATGGCAGAAATACACGAAGGTTTGCCGTTGCCTGCCGAGGGACGACCGCTGTTAAGAAAAAAACTTTTTTCTATATTTTTTGCGATGTTGCTTTGACCAGGGTTTGAACCCAGTTGCTGCGGACTGGAAGCGCGCACTGCTTACCACTACACCACAGCGGCCGACACTTTTTATTTCTTACCCCAAATCAATAACCGAAAATATATTGAATATTGTTCCATTAGAATCTAGTACCCTATACTTTGGCATATATATATATATATATATTAATTTTCCTTACAGATTTTGCAGCCTTACTAGTAGAAAAATCCTTTGTACTACACATACACTTATGATTTTTAAATACTTTTTGGCTCCAAACCTGATTATGGTAACTTTGTCCAATGCCGGATACCGTACGATAATCACGCGCTACCATACCAGCAACCCGCTTGCGACCTTGAGGTGACATATCGCGTCTCGAACGACGCTCATTCAAGTCAATCTGCAGAATGTTTAAATGTCGAAATTTAAAAATTTTATTTTGATGTCCAATTTTTTAGTTTTAGTTCAGTTGGAAGGGCGTATGAAGTTTTAATTTTTGTTACAAATGAAGGCGGATGAGTTGTGTGCAGCGAAATTTGTTTGAAACGTTGGAAGGTTGACTCAGTTGAAGGTGAACAAGAGAGAAGAGAGAAAATAAAATGAGAGAAAGAGAGAAATATAAATTATCATCAAGCTCATATAACTAAATATATGAGAATTTATACTATTATTCATATAATACTGGATTACAAGCCACGGAGTGGTAAAGAGGCTTTAGAGGAGATGAAAGGAAAGGAAATGGTGGGTGATCAATTCGTGAACAATGCACACTTATAAGGGGCATATATCAAGTATACGGATGTACATAGTACTTATATTGGAAGGGTTGCAAAGTGGTAGAATTTTCAAATAAATAGAGGCAGAGGCATATATTTGTAGTATATGTACAAGTACACAAGTATATATGTTTGTAGAATTTGGCTGGATTTTGAGGTTGAGTGTTGAGTGGATACAGTTGTTCTGTTCTCAAACTGTGGCTCTGATTTATGTATGAAAATCCTTATCAGCTACCAATGTGGATGTATGTATATAGAAAAAAGCATTGGAATGGGATAAACGATTCGTGTCTGTTGTAGGTATTCACTCCCTCGAAGCAAATGCGTGCATAGCTAAAGCAAACTGGGAATAAATTAATGCAAGGCAACACTTACATAATAAAAATCAAAATTTAATTTAAATAGTACAACATGCAATTTGCAGATACTTATGTGAATCTACTATTATTTTGCAGAGACAGTAGTGCAGTTTAAGTCATAAATAGATGCTTTGATTTGAAAATGTAATAAAACGGGTGATATTTCAATAGTTTAAGCAGCAACCGCATTTTTGTCAAATACGCAGTTTTGGCATTTTATGCATGTGTTCTCATTTGATATATCGTTTAAGATAGATATTGTGTTAATTTATTCTTAAACTAATTTAATTACTTAAACAGTTATATTAGCATGTCTTTTATGCTTACAATTAAAACATAATACAAATTTCGATTATTTAGCATAAGTTGGAAATATGTATGTATGTAAATGTAAATACGTTTTTTTATTTATATTTAGTATATATTTATTTGTATGAACATATATTCTTAGCAAATCATACCGGTATTATATTACTTAATGTTTACATATATGTGTATGTATACATACAAAGATAAATATGTTTACTATATACACGAACATATGTATCTGTTGAAGTTGCCGAAACGATCTAAAATTAAATAAATCTGCACATAAATACGTTAGTCGTCGAAATCTGTAAATTCGTTCGGTTAGAAAAAGATGACACTTTCATTAGAAAGAAAACACGCAAGGAAGAGAGAGGCATATACAGACAGCCAGAGTGTTAGAGAAAGAGAGAGAGAGAAAATAGAGACAGCCATTCAAGATTCTGATCGATTGCTCCTATATAAGTGTGCGTCTATCCAGGCGAGAGCGAATGTATTTTACAACTAATAGAAATGTACATACATACTACTCGTACCAAGCTTCAGTTAACCAGTTAAAAAAACATGGCTTTGAAGAGAAAAATTTTACACAACATCGATTAAATAAAGGAAATTTTATACATACAAACATACTTTTGCAAACCGTGAATTACAAAAAATTTTAATTTATTTGTCAAAAATGTTATGAAATGAGTTTTCATGTATAAATGATATGAATTAATGGACAATGCATCAGTATTTTCTACTGATTCTTTAAAGTCTCTTTATTAGAGAAAATAACTCCATAATCATAAACATTTTAATGCCTATGTACTTTGCGCATGAGCATAAAATGTTTCTGGAGGAGAATTGAAGTTTTTTGAAGGTGGTGTAATTCGAAAAACTTCAATTTCAATTTGTAACCTGTGCAGAATAACTTATGGACTTGCTTTCAATTGCCTTAAAAAATCCTGATTATTTCCATAAAAATGTAATGCAAATGCTTATTTAACGTTCATTAGATCGATTATAAACCTGTAGCTGAGTTGTGTGCCTTACTCGAAAAAAGATGAATAAAAGTTTTCATCATAAAGAGCAGAAATTTCTTTATTTTATACAAAATATCCTCGAGTAAGACCGCATACTTTGCAAACAAATATATAAAATAGCGGTGGCGTGCATTAACATGCGCGGAAAATGCGCCTACGAGCGTTGTATCCTTTCTTGGGAAGCACCCACGTTATTACTCTCTCGAAAAATAAATAAATATACAATTTAAATAAATGCATCTACATCCCACTAATATATTCAAATATTTTATTAAAACTTATTTGCTGATTAAGGTAACAATTTATTTTCTTATAAAAAATTGTAGTTAACAAATTATAATAGGGGTAGAGAATACCCAAACCCAAAACCCAGGTAAGACTTAGAGAATACTCATAATATGAATCATACATAAATACATACATATGTGCAAAGTATTTAAATCAAATATGCAATTTAAATTTCCAAATAAAACAATAACACATGAATAAGTTGAACATATCGATTACCGAAAAATTTTACGGTAGATTTGGCACAAAATATTTGTATTGCCATTCCGAATTGCGTTCTTGATGTGCTCTGCAATGCAATCTGGACACAATAGGGGTATTATCGAAGTCCTGCGAAGCACCCCTTTTAAATTAGGTGTATTCTCGAAGTCTTGCAAAGCCCTTGCACGGTGCACGGATTGCACGGTTTGCACAGCTGTCCCATAGGAAAGCCGGTTTTTACCATACAATCCATGTACCGTGCAAGGGCTTTGCAAGACTTCGAGATACCCCTTAACTTAAAATGTTTGAAAGGACTTAAAGAGCACATATCGCGGTTTATTAAAAGAAATTGGCAATTTGAGCGCCACCGAAATTGTATCAATTTATTAATAAAACTACAGATCTAGCTTTTGAATTTGTTTAAATTATCAATAAGTCTTATAAATGTACTGTAACAATACATATATACTGACAATTATTTTTTGTTTCAAAGCGCATTTGAAATAGTAAAAATTACATATTTATGCAAAGTACACTATTCCGATTACACTGTGAGACAAATGGTAGGGGTCAGTGATCGGGAAGGGTTCAAACTACCGGGGAAAGTTATATCGGTAAAAAAGAAGTTATACGTGTCCCGGCGTTTCGCTGGGTCACGTCTAGAAATCGAGATATATATATAACTATCATATAGGGGAAATTGTCACCTTTGGTGGTCTTTTTTGTCCGATTTTGTGGTATTTTTTGTCCGATTTTGCTCAAACAAATTTAAAAAAATTAAAAATTACAATTCCTTTAATCTGTTCATATAACGTTTTTCTATATAATCAACACTTTTAAAAAAATTTAATATTTTAGGCAAAAAATATTTTTTTTCTTCATACATTTATTTTTACCGGCAAAACTGTTGATTATATAGAAAAACGTTATATGAACAGATTAAAGGAATTGTAATTTTTAATTTTTTTAAATTTGTTTGAGCAAAATCGGACTAGTGGTTCTCGAGTTATGTCAAAAAAAGACCACCAAAGGTGACAATTTCCCCTATATGATAGTTATATATATATCTCGATTCCTAGACGTGACCCAGCGAAACGCCGGGACACGTATACTTTTTTNTTCCCCTATATGATAGTTATATATATATCTCGATTCCTAGACGTGACCCAGCGAAACGCCGGGACACGTATAACTTCTTTTTGACCGATATAATATTTCCCGTTGGTTTCATCCCATCCCGATTTTGACTGTCGCATAGTGTTATCGCCACTGCTAGCCACCGCTGCACAGAGGGGTATTTAGCCGAGTTATGCGGCCAAAATTATTTTTATGGATATTTCAACTCGACATGTTTAGAAAACACGTGTTTTGACATATAGAATTGAAAATGTTTAAAACCAAGTAAACATATGTTAAAATATTAACAGGGTTGCCACCTGTTAAAAATTTTGTTCAATTAGTTAAATGAATTGCTGCAATATGGTAAAATTGCGGCAGTTTAGGTAAAAAAAGGGTGTATTCGAGGTGCAATTAATGCGGCGGAGTTACTCTTTTATGAAAGAGTATCACGTTCTACGCGAATTTTGACAATCAGTTACTCATCATTGGCAAATCAAAAGCAACATATAAATTTTAACTGCGCAATTTCTGCAACTTTTTAGAAAAGTTTAAGTTGAGCATCAGCAACAAGTCATCAGGAAAGCAACAAGTCTTCAATATTGCGGTAATTATTACGTAGCTCGAACGCACCCAATGTAATAAAACTACATTTTTGTAATAATAACAGTCTTATTTATTGTTAAGAGAATTTCGTAAGTATTAACTTGGAGTAAATTAGCGTCCTCAATTACTGAAATATCGGAGTTTTCGTATTTTCAACGCATTTCTTTCCATACCAAGTGCACCGAGTTTGGTACAAATTTATAAATCGGTTACCGAGATATACATCTGTGGTCAAAAGTGCGCTGCGCCACGACTATTATCCAAAAAATTATAATAATTTTATTTAATGCTAAGAGGTTATTCCAAGCACCGATTTAGAGTGAATTAGCTTCAGTGGTTATTGATTTATCGGAGTTTTCTCGTTTCTGTAAACNCATACCAAGTGCACCGAGTTTGGTACAAATTTATAAATCGGTTACCGAGATATACATCTGTGGTCAAAAGTGCGCTGCGCCACGACTATTATCCAAAAAATTATAATAATTTTATTTAATGCTAAGAGGTTATTCCAAGCACCGATTTAGAGTGAATTAGCTTCAGTGGTTATTGATTTATCGGAGTTTTCTCGTTTCTGTAAACTACCGTTATATGAGAAGTGGGCGTGGTTATCGCAGTTATGTTAGATATATCCTAAGCAAGACTCGTACCGAGTTTGGTACGGATTAGTGAAGCGGATACTGAGACACAGCATTTCATCATAAGTGGGCGGGGCCACACCTNCTACCGTTATATGAGAAGTGGGCGTGGTTATCGCAGTTATGTTAGATATATCCTAAGCAAGACTCGTACCGAGTTTGGTACGGATTAGTGAAGCGGATACTGAGACACAGCATTTCATCATAAGTGGGCGGGGCCACACCTACTTCCTAAAAATTTAATAATAATCCTATTTTGTTCCAAAATTTTACTTAACATACTAATTTTTAACAATTTGGATACAATATTTACTGAAATATCGTAGTTTTATCTAAATTGACATTTATCTAAATTTAAACGCTTGTATACCCAAAACTATTTCTTTAATCATCACTTGTATAACACCAATGTAAAGGAAAACAAATGTTTATTCCGAAATATGTAATATAGTTGGGTTCGCCTTACATTCCCACAGATCTCTAGCAACAGGACCGAAAGGTCCTAGAAAACATGACTTTTGCTAATATCACGAAAACTATTTATTTGTTAAATTAAATGGATTCATATTCTAGTTCAGCGGCCTCAAATTTATCTAAAAATTTTAATTTTCGTGCCAAAATAGATCTAAAGTAGTATTACTATATACTAGTTGTGTTTTTAGATTTTTCTATGTTAAGAAATACAACTTATCTGCCGTTTTCTGCGGACAGTCTTTTCACACTATATTAGCCAAATTTTTAAGCTTTCAATTGAACAACGAAAATAACGCGATCTCTCCCGGGGATACAACAAATTCCTTAATATTCACAAAAATTAACAAAAAAATACTCGTTGAAAACCGCTATTTTCGCTACATTTAAATTGAACTTTTGCTTAATAAAATTATTAAACAAAAATTTACCCTCAAATGCACTATTACCTTCTGTATGCGGATCCATCACTACTTTTGAAGAATATAGTGCAGAAATCAAAATATTAACTTAAAACCGTCACGATCTTTCTAGAGAGCGAAAATTTATTTATAAGCAGCGTTAGAATATTCTGTTTCCGGTCAACGGTGAGCGATCGCCGTGCAAGTTAGAAAAGTGGGGGGGACTGGGAAATGTTATTTGGAATGTTCTCTATCGAAAGTGACTAATTTTTTAAGTTTTCTCCAAAATTTTGTCAAATTGGTTGTTGGCCGCATAAATCGTTGAAATACCCCTATGTGCGCTGTTAACAACAAAAAAAAGGTAACTATGCTATAGCCAAAGATATTTACATTAATAAAAAATCGGCGGATATTTTGCGCTTTTTATAATTAATTGTTAAATTTTTAAGAAAACGCGTGTGAGTATATGAACATGTGCAATACACGGCGTATGAGTAACCTTCCTTCTGGTCATATTCCATACAAATATGTGATAGGGATAGGAAGGAATCCCATGCAAATGCATGTTTTTATTGGGCATCTTCAAATGGAAATTTTTAATTTATCTTTAGGATCGTGAGATTTCCTTTAAAATGTCATTCAATCGTAAGTGCATATCTTGTAGTAAAAGCATGGTTTTGCACATTATTCAAAAATGGCTGTTTTTACTTATTTATTGCGTAAATCCTAGTATATTTAACAATAAATGCATGTTGTATTTGCATATTTTTGCTCTTTTGATTGGCAACCATTTAAATTTAGTGCGACATTTCTTGACAAAAAATTATTTGTAATTTTTTCCAAAAAATTCATCTGAACCAATGTATTAAACTGTCAATGATTCTATTTACACAAGATTGTAATGATGATGAAAATTGCATAGGAGTTAATACAGTTTTCAATTACAATTATTTTCGTTAATGAAATTAAGAAATTAAATAAAAATAATCTAATTGTCATAAGTAAGATTACCCTGAAACTGATGGAAGGTTTTTTTTTTGTTTTTTTTTAGTTTTTTTCTTCCGATAATTAAATTATTATGAAAAAAAATAAAAAATATTATAAGAACTAAGAAAGACTAAGAAAAATAAAAACGTGGGGTGTTTTATTCCTGTAACCTCCTCTAGGTAGGCCTTGAAAATTGAAGTGTGACAATTTGCATGCTAATAACAGGTTAAATTTTAAAGAAATTCTTAAAATCAATTTTTTCCATTTTTGTAAAATTAAATGAATTTATTAAAACACTTTGACGCAAAAGCCACCACTTAAATTTTTTCAATTAAATTCTTATTTTAATTTCCTTAAATAATAAAAATTAAATAATAAAATTGATAGATAAGTAACCCTATTCAAAGACATGCTAGTGTTAAAGCTTGTTCAAACACCTTCCGTTTGATACCCATATTGTGATAATTAATTTTTTTTTAATAAAAGTAATTATAACTTTTTAGAAAAGTGGCAACCCCACTTCAAAATATATTTTTTAATCTCTTCAAACGGTTTTGGTTTTACTCTACAATNACTGTCAATGATTCTATTTACACAAGATTGTAATGATGATGAAAATTGCATAGGAGTTAATACAGTTTTCAATTACAATTATTTTCGTTAATGAAATTAAAAAACTAAATAAAAATAATCTAATTGTCATAAGTAAGATTACCCTGAAACTGATGGAAGGTTTTTTTTTTGTTTTTTTTTAGTTTTTTTCTTCCGATAATTAAATTATTATGAAAAAAAATAAAAAATATAGTAAGAACTAAGAAAGACTAAGAAAAATAAAAACGTGGGGTGTTTATTGAAGTATCCTGTGGAGCCTTTGAATAATTATGTATAAGTTTTCTTATATCTAGCAACTCTGGTTTTTAATTTTTTTCCAGAAACTTTCCACAGAAAACACAAAGAAGCAAGGCAGAAAATGAAATAAATCCCTACAATTTTTAATACGTTCAAAGCTGTTAAAATTTCAAAAAATCGAAAATACTTGTCTTCTAATTTTTGGACACCTGGTACTTTTCGATACCTTGGATAATAAGCTATACCATACAAATATTTGTTTCTGATTTTTTTCACGTTTAAATAGTCAAGCAAAAATTTTGGCCACTTTTTCAGTCTTCTGGCCCACTGTGCATTGGACAAGTTATTGTGATTTCTTGAGTGAAGCATTCATATGTATGCATGTTTGGTTAAATGAAGATATATGACTATATGACAGTCGGGTCTACGTAACCGGAACGACCCAGATTTATATCTGGCCAAGGACTGTCACTCCAGCAACACTCCCCAAAAATCCTTTGGGGAACTTTTATGCTGCTACAACAACAACAACAGGCCAATTGTGGATAGCTAGATAAAAATGCAGGCTTTTCCTAGATATTCAAAATTATCAAAAAAAAACGCGATCGAGACTGACTCAGAACCCGGAACTGGTCACATTACGTTATTCGCCGCCAGACTTTAATTGTGTTCATTTTAATGTTTAAATAGCAAGGAGTGGGGATAAAAAACTTGACCATCATACATGCATACATGTATTCATTTATATGCAAGACAATCGTTTCTTTACTATACGCACGGAAGCCAAGTGGGACCAAGTCCTTGACCAGCTGTCTTTTCTTACCAACAGCGGGATCCGTGTTGTTGTTTTTAGATCATAAATATCAAAATTCGAAAATGTTAGTCCCAATNTCTTACCAACAGCGGGATCCGTGTTGTTGTTTTTAGATCATAAATATCAAGATTCGAAAACGTTAGTCCCAATAGTAATGACAGGCTATTTGGGCTTCGATTAGGGTTTCTTGAGAACATATCCTCGTTCGATAAATCTCTCCTAAACCTGACGGAACGTAACTTTGATGCAGACAATAAGTTGAAATTCCATTTACTCAGGCAATTCTTTACAGGTAACTGACTAACTTGAATAAAACCAAAATAAGGAAATCTCAATACTAAAAGGGCTTTGATAGGGCTACCTTTTCTAACTATGTCGAACGGAAAAGATCTTTTATTTAAAGAAATACTTCCCCCCAGTGCATCGCGGATTTAAATAAAAAACATCTAAGGTGGAGACACGGGACAAAATATTTAATCACGATCCTGCCCATCCAGAAATTAATTTTTGAATTCCCGAACCTTCCCATCTCGACATTTTTCAGAATTGCGCTCAACTGCTGCGCCTTCTGAACCTACCCAATACTGTTGAAATTTGTGTAAAAAAAGTATTTACATAGGTGAGGTGAAAGTATGCATTTATATATGTATGTACGTATGTATGCACATTTTGTGTATATTAATGTATATGTAATTGTGATTGTTGCAAATAGAGCCCTTTGTACTAAAAATAATTTCCGTGTTTAATTTTCAAAGATGAAACGTGATGCGTGGACTGTCGAGAATTTTTTTGTCGGTTACCTCTGGTGGTGGACTTGATGAGCTGCCCAGTGAGGATATGCTTGCGCCATCACGTCCCGGCGTCAGTCCATCGATGTCACATTCAGACGTCGTATCGGAATCGCTTAGACGTGACGTTGTGCTGGGAGGTGATAAATGATCTGTCGGTGTCAAAATCATAATGTCCGCTTCATTGTGGTCGTCCTGATGCAACTATGATGGAGTGGGAGAGGGAGGAGGAGGAGTAAATAGTAAGTAGATACAGCAATACGGTACTTACACATATACAAGTATATAAGTACATATTTCCTTATATGTATGTACTATATTCAAGCGTGTATGTACAAGTATTTGTGCGTGAGAGTGTAAGCACTTGCACGCACGAATACTCAACGAGCTTTAAGACTGGTTTTCACTGTGTCATATTTTGATGCCAAAATTTGGCGACATATTTTGACAAACAACTTTATCTCCTTTATCCAGACTTTTACCGATGATATTATGACCCAAATTAATCGATAAACAGCTTTCTGATGCCATTTGACAATGTGTTTTCTTTTATTTGATGACAAATGCCACTGAATTTGACGTAGTGAATACCAGCCTTTATGCTAGTGCCAGTTTCAGCTTGGATGAGAGGAATATGCGTGACAGTTTCCAATATTTACTGATTTACTTGTGTTCCTCAATATCATAAGAAATAAATCAATCAATCATGCCATAAGAAAATGTTTCTTGTGAAATTTTATTTAAGTGTAGGTTAACTTTGGATTGTAAAATTTTCTCCATCAAAACCAACAAACCATGTATAAAAGTATTTATTTTCTCTCTCGTTTTTACAGGTTTGACTTATATTCGTATTTTTTGTGTATGTAGCTTGCAGGGATCGTTCCTTACCAAAGGCGTCCAAATAAATATTTTTTATTTGGAATATCAGAAACGTTTGGGGGTTTCTTTTATTTTTCCTGTTAAAAGGAGCATTTCGTTGTTATCAACTCAATTCTGACTTGAGCCATAGGAATTTTTTACTAGTTTTGAGATAACGAACTATCATTGCTAGGCAAAGTTGTCGTACTTTTGGGGTATGTATCTGATAGATATTGGAAAGCCGGTCGGGTTAAAAGAGGTTATGTGTCTGGCAATCTCTCTCTCAGCACCCTTATAACGCAAGGAACATAGGACCACCTCCGGTTTAGAGCGCTCACGTCTTCTTTAGAAATGAGAACTATAAATACACTTGAAATCTGCTTCCAATAAAAAATGACGATAAAGTGCCGTTAAGCCAAGAAAATAAGGCAAAACATGAAGACCACAGAGAAGCGTCAAATAAGCGTCTAATTTGTGTAGAAGTATCGTTCGTTTCTTATGGGCTATCTACTTTTTGCTTTTTTTCGCTTTACTCGTCGCTTGTGACGCCGCTTCACTATGTCCTTAGCCTTAGAGCGAAACGGGCATTTTCTCTTTAGCAGCCAGATTTTAATAGGTCACTTAGTTTACTCTTTTCGAACAGGTATGCAAGCATTATCGTTACTCGTTATTCATAAGGAAAAAAAACCCTCCTACATCACTATCGGCAGGAATGTATGTAATAACATATTATACATAGCTGTGTTTGTTAATAGATAGATAAATACAATACATAGGAGTTTGTAAACGCGAACGATCTAAATATTTAAGCGCATTTATTAGGTTTTAGACGTTCTCTTTATAAATTCTTTGTTTCCGATTGTAAACACTGACACTCAACATTGCTAACATAGCCACAAGTTACCAAAAAAAATTACAACAACAACTTATAAATTCACACGTACGAGATACGAAGTGTCCTGATGCGGTTGAAGATGATACCATTCCGCCTCATCGTCGAGCACATGATGAGCCAAATCAATGACCACTTCGCCGATGAAGTCATTGGCACCGTAGCGCACGTAATCCCACAGGGTTACCTGCATAATACATTTATAAATATTAAGACCAGGCAGAGCGTGAAAATAAAACGATCAGAATGAAAGGATTTATAAATTTTTTGTCTTGAGTTTCGAATTTCCGTTACGTGGATTTACGTACTTCGAGTAAACGGCCGGTGAGATCGGATCGTCTTAGGCCCGAGTAAACGAAAGTTTGGCCCCAGCGCGGTTCGCAAGTATTCGCTAAAGTTTTGGTACGTCTTTTTGATTTTGTACCCCGATCGGGTAGAAGGAACACCTAGTTGTGTAATGGGGAAATTTAATATGTTTACAGTTGGAATTTTCCAAAAACTCGCAATATACAATAGGGCTGTTCAGGATATAGTGGAAATGGTCTTGGCTTTGCATTTGGTATTGCATTTGTAATTTTTTATTGCCTTCGACCATGGCAACCGTTTGCATTTTATTGTCGAAATATGCATATGCAAGATCATTTGCACAAGATCCTGAACAGGCCTAATATATTTTGTAATTAGGTTCATTTGCTATTTCCCTGTGTTATTAGAGTACGTAGCACTCACTTTTGCATAAGGATTTCGTGCGGCGCCACTTTGTCGCAACGTCAGACCCGTTGCGCAGACGAGCGTCACTATCAGCTGCAGGGTATTCTGATCGTAACCGAGTTTCATCTGAAGCCGGCCATCGACGGCCATGGGCAGAGTATGCGCCACACCCACCGTGGGCAAGTGGTGTGCAGTGGCATGTGGGTGCGTGTGCGGTGGCGGTGGTGGCTGGTGACAATGATGGTGGTGGCTCGCCGTCGTTGTGGCTTGTGAACCGGCTGTTGCTGCACTGGCTGTGTTCGCGACGTTCGGTACCAGCCGTTGGTGTTGTGGTTTATGCTGCTGCGTTGAGTGCTGCTGATACGTTCCGGCGCCGCCGCTGTAGCCACGTTGCTGCACATTCGTTTGCCGAAAGGTGCGCGCGCCCCCGGTGGTGGCGTGGAAATCGGGCGAACCGGGCGATGTTATTAAAACACTCGGCTTGTCGCAGTGGATGTCGATGGCATCGGTTGCAGGTGCTGTTCGAAGAAGGTGGTAAGATTGAAAAAGTAAGTATGTATTAAAATCGGTTTTTCTAAATAACGGTGTAAGGCATTACAGAGATTTTTCGCTAATAAACTAATTTAACAATTATATGCGTTAAGTAAACTTAATACGCCAATCATGATTTGTTTTTGGCTGCAAACGCACTCAATAACCAGTTAGTTTAATGTGATAAGTGTAGGACTGGTAAATCGTGGAGTAAGAAATTAGATTTTCATTCTTTTACTTAATATGCAAAAAATGTTCACTATAGTTTATTCATTAGCTAATGATCAAGTATTTTTCTATATTTGTATATATATACAAGTACACCCTGTTAAAATAATTTAGCTTGATCTGTGTACCTTTTCGTGAATAATAACGTCCGCCGCTGCTGACCACAGCACTGTTAGCAATGGTGCTTGTGAGATTTTGGCTGTTCAAGGCGGTGTGCGGCTGTTGATGGCCAGCAGCTCTGCGTGCTGCGTTGCTTCCTGATACTTTGACGGTCAAGGGACGTGAAACAACTAATTCCACCTGTGCATCCAAGCGGCTTTCGTCGATTATCTGGTAAACTTCGTCCGCGCACTTATTCCGTAGCGCTCGACCGTTCCATTCAATGATTTCGTCGCCTGATCCAAATGAAATATAAATGTAATGAGAGAGAGATGCATGCGTAAAAGAAACAAATACATGTATCTAGAGATAGATATGTATGTATGTATGTAGTAGAGTAACAAGGGAGTGGTGATAGTCTCAGGTTCAAAACATACTGGAGCGACGGGAAAAGCATGACCAGAGCATCGATTATAAACGTGTATGCATGTACGATTTGCTCTTCACTATGCGCGCTCCCATTGAACGAGCACGTTTATAAGTTCCCTGCAAGAACAGTGACTATCATTTGACAAATCATTTGAGTGGCAAGACTGATAGAGATTTCTGTCACTGGCTACAAACAAGTTTCTATCAAATTCTAAAGGGCAGTGTAAAAAATCTGATGTAAACATTTGTGTACATGTGATCTTCCGTCTTCCTCAAACTTATGTCCTTATTTAATGGTCTCTTTTTAACCAACGCAAAATTTGCAAATGTGTTAGTAAGATAAATGAGAATGTGTTAGTTTCCATCACACAATTCTTGTAGGGTTATAAATTGTAACTAACGCTTTTCTCGCCGCTCCAATATGTTTTTAGCATTAGTGTATAGAAAGCGAAAATAATTTTTTGCTTACTTTAAGCTAACCCTAAGTTTTAATCTACCGGAAACCGGAAGCTCCTTTTAATCGTTATTGTATTGCTGATGGAAAGCGCGCGATCAGGGAGATGGAGGTAGAAATTATCTTTTATTAAGAATCATTTATTGACATAGGCCACATCAAGTTACTGCCGTCCCTAAATTGAGCGATTAGCGTTGCGTTTTATTTGACGTTTTCTTATTTCCTCTCGTTTTTTCCTCAATTCCTCTCTTACTTTTTGTCCTCTCTCTTTCTTTCCACCTTCTACATGCAACTTCAACACGAAACGATGCTTCATACAAATTGTATGTGCATGAGGTTTTTAGACAGTTCATTGACGCTTGACGCGCCAATTTAGGGATGGCAGTTATCTACGCACTTCACAAGCCTGGTGTGCGAGGGTGAGAGAAATGTGAGGAATGCTGATAAATCTTTGTACCACGTCGACGTGCTCAGCCAATGCTTACAATAAAGGTACCACCTCTGCATGAACTTAAGCAGAGTCCATGTTTGGCTTGAAGGTCGTAGCGGGTGGAGTGTGTGCGATGGGTTAAGCATAGAACCCTTGACCGTGGTTGGGAGTGCCAACAAAGTATTACTTTAATAAGTTAAGCGAGGGGATATTTGAGAATTGCTTAAAAAATGCATATCGCCTTATGCATACGTGTGCCTTGGTGTTCGCTGAATTTAGTTTTGTACGGGAAATTTGCAAATAGACAAGAAGCGTTAAGAATTATGACTTAAAGAGGAGAATGGAATTCTAACGTGTGATTTCCTGTGCCGATCACTTGATTTGAATCCCATTAAAATATTTTTAGGCTAAAAGTCGGATCTCTAGTAGGCACCTTACCTATAAAAAGGAATTCTAAACTGATTGCATGAGCTTATGGGACATCCATTTCAAAAAGATGCGAAGTCATTGTTAAGGATAACATTTTCTATACTTAAAATTGAGCACGTCCCATTCGCTTTGTGAAGATCCTAAGGGGTAATTTTTGTTATCTCAAACAAATAATGGAAATATGCTTTTAGAAGTAAAGATATCAAAATAATTTTGGGTGAAAAATTTAGATGTTAAAGCATGCAGCAATTAATGGTTTTAAGAATAATGATTTGGTACTGAACTCGAATATGGTTTTGTTGCCGAGAGCTTGTTTTTCGAAAGTATCACTTTCAAGTCTCCAATCGCGCATACGAGCCTGTTTTTGAGGGAAATAAAACTAATAAAATTTAGACGTAATATTTTATTTTATTTTATTT